TAAATACCAGTGGCTAACACAGTGTTAGCGGTGGTGCTAATGCAAACTCTCTCTCTCTGTACTGACGAGGTGTCAGGTTTATTTTAGAGTTAGATTATATGACCCTGGCTGTCTGAATCTGTTTTTATGAGACTGTCATTCACTGCATTCCCAAGGTGAAAATACTCAGTCATGGTGTTGACATTATATGATGTGTCTTCTATCATATAAAAAGCATCATATGGATGTTAACAAGGTTAAAAACTTGATTTTCATCAGAGGGGGTCTTTTATACAGAAAGAGGTTCATGGTGCATGACACATGAAACGAGCATCTTTCCATAACAACCTAAGTGCTTCTGTTGCCTAAACCACAAACTGTGGATGTGAACCCTGGTCTTTATGTCAAGGTCCCACATCCACCTTGACAACCTTCATGTGGGACATAAATGTAGAACTTTATTTATTGAACAAGTGCTGCCTGTGAACAGAAAACAGGCAGTAATTATGTTTGTTACCACAACATTACTGAGTAGGTAAGTTAGCATTATAGGAACATATCAGGTTTGGAGGTGGAGTGAAAATGTTGCAGTGCAGAAGCCTTTTTTATCACAGAGCTTTCGTTGTTCCTGGTTCACTCACATGATGGCTGTAATAATTGTTAATGATCGGCATTTTGTTCATAAGGTTAAAACCCCAGCTACACTTGCGATATACAGAAGAACTTAATTGTGAGAGAAAAAATATAAAACAGCCAATCATACGTTAACACATACATATCTACCATATCTTCTATAAAAATGGGTTGGGCATAAATATGGTCATGTGGCTTTAGGCCAATCGTTGTCTCAGGCTGGGTAGAAATGTAAGACGAATGGCCAATAGAGGACATCAGTGCTGTCATCATCATTGTAAGTATTGACGTAAATACTAACAATGCAGAGTAGAGTTTTGCTTTTCTACAAAGTAATGCATCATATTCAGCTCCCCTCTTCACTGCGATATTTCCATACAGTTCCTTAAAGCACTGGCTTTGTCTAAGGTTACTACCTTGAATCCCCTCATCAGCTCAGTACATCTCCCTTCCCTGAACTACTACTGCACACGTGCTACTGAGCAAGGCAGTTAACTCCCAACAGCACTAAGAGAGCTGCTAAATGTAGACGACTGTGGTTGTACAGAGCATCTCTCAGGAATGAATAAGTGGAATTAAGTCAATGTAAGGCAATACATCTCTGCAGAATGTCTTCTCACTTGATTTCCCTGGATAAATAAAGGTTAAATGAAGGAAGAAAAAATTTAAATCCTTGCCGGAAGATAAATAGCTCTTTAATGTCATGCAGACTGGTGGTCCAATGCCTCATTTCTGGTGTGATTGTTAAAGTCAGTTCCCATAGACATGAGCGTAGGAAGGATGGAGGAAAGTAGAGACTATATCATTCCAGGAAGGGGTCCATCATGCACTGGTATGCTTGTCTTTCCAGTCTCCACATATTTAGTATGTGTGTGGAGCCAGGAAGGTCTGAGATGAATGCAGCACCATGCAGTTCAGCTGAGTTTAAATATTTCATCTGGGGGAGGGGAGGTTCAGGATTTACCAGCCTCCCAGTTCAGCTCAGTACAAGTTTGAGGAGCTAACACCGCTCCTCATCCTCATGTTCCATTCTGTTGAGTTAATACAATATCCTGAAAATGACTCTGCTCTTCCCTTCCTTACTTTGAAAGTGGGAAACTACACAGTGGCCCCCAGACCCTCAGAGGCCCCAAAAGGTTTCCCACATAGCATCAGGCCAATTTGATGAACTGCAAATTTCAGGTTCTACATGTTCCGTCTGGTGGCCCCGGTTTTGAAGAAGGACTCTGGACTTGTTTTCGTTTGTATTCACCTCCTTTCCTGTAAAGTTTTATTTTATCAAATTGCTTCATTGCTTTTCTGTGTGTCAATTAATAAATAGACAGAAAACCTCGGGTTCGGTTGTACTGTTCCTTCACTGCAAGGCTACAACCATCAATCAGTTTCATTATCAATACACATTTCTTTAAGAATCAATCGGTTGGTCAATAAAATGCCAGAAAATAGTGAAATATGCACATCACTATCACCTGAAGCCCAAATTATTATTCAGATTGCTTTGTTCTGACTAACAGTTAAAACACAAAGACATTGACTTTATTTTAATAGAAAACTGAGAAAGTTTAAAAAATGACAATCAATTATCAAAACTGTTGCTACTTCAGCCCTACAGTACTGGTTGGTTTCTGGGTTCCTGTGGGAATCATGACACTATAATGTATAATGGGGGTCAATAGGGGGCCCAAGAACACATTTTTAGCCCCTGGGCCCCCTGGGAGATTCATCCAGCCATGTCACCATCACTATATTTAAGTGTTGAATCCATTTCTTTTCCTCTGGGTCCCTGAATTCATTTTACAAAAGTGAAGTAGAAGTGTTGTCCTAACCCTGTACTCTGACCCTCAGACATCAGCTGCTGGTTTACTCTGTGGGTCTTTATCAGAGTAAACCAATCGATCAAGGGGTTGTGTATCAAAGTTTCTCCAACACCACAGGGAATCATTTTTGCCAGGAGGATTTATTTTGTGTAAAAAGAGGGTATGGAAGTGGCTATATCTGCAAAAACAGGTGAATTAGCTTTCTGATGAAAAGTGGTATTCAACAGCCACACAATGTGAACTGTGAAAAGAAGAAAGAAGAAATAATAATAATCTGCTGCATACATTTTTTAAAAACAGATTTTTCACTAATCTTGTCTTTTTTCTTGTCCATACCGGATAGTTTTACCACTTCAGGTCTGCAACAGTTCCAAATAAAAGTACCCGAGAGGTTCAGCTGGCTGAATCACTCTGGTGGAGACTCAGATATATGCAACCAGCCAGTCAGAGGTCACGCAGTCTGGTTGGGTCCTATATTCATAGATAGTGATTATCGTTCCTGTTGTCTGAAATAGAGACGATGAACTCACTGAGTCAACTGCAGAGAGAGAACGCTGTGACAAAAAGCAAAAGAGTCGAGGCAGAGTTCGCATCTTCATCAGCCAGCTGAAAAGAAACCTGGATTTATCTCAGACTCCCACATATTAAAACTCTGGCCTCGTTTTCTGTCACCTCTGAGGTTGTCACAGCAACTAATTATTGCTAACAAACAACAAAAACGATACCGGCTATGCCGTTGCAGAACCAGCTTTTCCATAATAGAAGCTTTTCCATTTTCCCTTTTTGTTCTTCAGCATTAATGCATAAAATTCAAAATAAACCTTAAACGTTAAAAACTTGTCAAAGAATGGTATCTTTTTTTTTTTTTTTTCTCACAAAAATGTCAGAACCTTATAATTCAGGATAAAGGATTATACATCTGCACAGGATCATTAACATCTTCTCACTTCTGCTACAGGTGGAGCCAGAGGGATTTCTGGGGGAAGAGAACAGACTGAGCTGGCACACATAAGTTGGCATACCACCATAACGTTTGCATTACCTCCAGACTACATCTGGCAACCACCCCCGCATTACGTCACAGTGCAGTGTGGTCACCCGCTGCCCATGCAATTACTGCTTGGCAAGAAGACTGAACAGAGAGAGTGTATGTGAGCTGGAGAGTTCAACGCAGGTATCACCATCATACTCACAAACACACGCCTGGTCACATGTTACATGCATGTATACACAGTGTATATGTGCTTTTGTCCTTTACCACTGAAAATAAAATGCCTCTCGAGCCTGGCAGACAGCACGGCTGACTTTCAAGAAATTCCACAAGCGAGTGCTTTCTGGAACTAAACGGGTGCAGCAAATCCTCTTAAAATCCTTTTAGACACCGTGGCAGCGCGGAGAAAAAGAAAAAGTTTCTCCCAGGCAAACATGTGCAGGTTTGTTGGGTTGATGTCGTGCTCAGGGGAAGGACACTCTCGCCAGTTTATTTCTTCAAGGCTAGAAAAGAATGTTAATACGACAGATACCCTACAGGACGCACAGAAGCACAAGATGGTGACAGGAGGCTTCAAGGAAAGACTTTGGGGAGAGGATGTGAACGGCTTAATTTTTTCGGTTTAAGACTTGAAGAGTGTGGAGCTTTACACGTTATTTTGTGGTGTAATAGGACAGAAGGAGGAAAATGTTCGGTTTCACTTTCAGCTGCCTGCATGACAGCGACCCGGACAGCTGGGATATAAAGTTTTTTCTCAGCGCAAACAATAGTAAACAACTAAAATCAGTGTGACTATCTACTCAGGGCAGTTTTACATTAGATGAAATTCTGCAGCTGAAATGAAGTTTTAAAATGGCTGTCAACAAGTGCCAGACAATCCAGCCACTGTGTCTTTAGGCTCTCCAATTTCCACAAGTTTCTCAAAAACTAGTTTCCTCGCTCTGATTGCTATTTACATATTTGGGTAAATGAGCATGGGATTGGGCGGTTTGTTTGTCGGTATGCTCTTTGCTTTTCTATCTCCTTTGGGCAACAGATTGAATTAATGTTTGTAGACACTGTGATGCCACACATGAGGAAACAGGAGATTTTGCAAAATTACAAAACTCTCCCAATTACGGCTCTACAAACACATAAGACTGAAAAAAACTCATTTGGGTTGTGATGCAGATTTCTCTTATGTTAGAAGCACAAGGACAATAATTAGCTTCATTTACATGCTTTTCTATTTAAATAGACCAACAAACAGATATTGTTTACTCAATACCCAGACTTTGCAGAACACACACAACTGCACCCACACACAAATCTGTGATTTGTATTTTCACCACATGAACTACTTTTTGAAAGGGTAAATGTCAGCTTGCTTTCACATCTCTTTATCAGTGCTGCCACTATTTCTCCTTCCACCCCCACTCTGTTTAGCTCCTATCTCCTTTCCTCCTTAATTACTTATTGGAAGGTGTTTGGCTTTGCGCTGCACGCCTGCTGTTTTGGTCATTACAGGCCCCTGTAGGAAGTGGAGTGGCTGCCAAAGAAGCTTAGCAGAAGACAGGCGCTGGGGATGTGTCTGTACTCACCTGGGGTAAATGAGGACAACTCTTCCTGCTGGCTTTGAGGCCTGTCCTCCCCTCAGGGGCTGTCCTGATGTTGAAGAGGGCCTGAAGAGCACACTGGGCCGCCTGGGTCTTGGCCAGCTTCTTGCTGCGACCACAGCCCTCAAATATCCGCCCGTCCACACGCACTGCCATCACAAAGCTACGCAGCCGTCGCCCTTCAGTTTGCTCTGAAAGGCAAGCATAGCGCAGGCCCGGCCGGAGTTCATTTAGCAATGCCACAGGGCTCTTGGGAGCCTCAGGCTCTGGAACAATCCCACCCAGCCTCTGCTGAGCCTGAACCATCAGGTCCAAGGTGTGGCGAAGCAACCGTCCATGTCTCAGTAGCTCACTCGACAGTAGCTTGCTCTCAGCTGCTGTGCTGCAGAGCGAGAGGCCATCGGAGCATGGCGAGGACTCAAATTCTTTAAAGAGCGTTTCAGGGAAGTCCGCCTGGTCTGAGGTGAAGTCGGCTGAAGGGTTGGAGATGTTTCCCATGGCTAGGTGGGCCTGAGGAGCGTTTGGGAACTGGATGAAGGACTTGAGGGCCAGCTCGGCAGCCCTCATCTTAGCTTTCTTCTTTGTGGGGCCTGTGCCCTCAAAGGTCAGCCCGTTCACCTCCACAGCGATGGAGAAGACAGGAGCGTGCACTGGGCCTGTCTGAGACACCATGCGGTACTGCAGGCCCGGCCGGAGTTCATTCAGCTGCACCAAAGCGTTCTTTGGAGCCTCAGACCAGGACAGTTTCTTATAGATCAGGCGGAGTTGACACAAGTGCCCCTTGTTGTCTTCCTCCAGCGGCCGTTTCCTTTTCAGAGCAGAGCTGCCGCTTCTCGTAGAGTCAGAGCAGAAGAGCGACTGGCACTCTGCAGATCCTATGGTGCGATCTTCTAAGTTACCGATGTTACGGTTTTCCTTTACCTCTGCACTGCTGGTACCTGCCGTGAAAACAGCAAAACAGAAACAGTGTAATTCAATGTGATAAAAAAAAAATAGTCAAAACACAATAAGGAAAAAAAGCATTCATTACCGTGTGACACTCACTGGTATATCCTTCCTGAACAAAATGAATCAAGGAAAATCTCTCATGGCAGATTGAGCCACTTGATACACAATGAAATGGTAATGAACAAATCTACAATCACCTTTTCTGATCCGAGCCCACTTCATACCACAGGGCTCTATCACATTTAAGTGTTTTAAAATCCAAATACAAATCCCCTAAAAATGGCGATGTTATCTGCCAAATCAGTCTGTAATCTGCCTCCAAATTGGTTCTGAATCTGCTTCGCAAGTGGGAGACATTGGTCCCTGTGGCCAACACAAAGCATCAATCCTATTTGTAATGGGGGTGGGGATCGCATGGAGTGGCAGACATTCCGAGAAAGGATGAGAGAAACGTCTGTAGCCCGCTTTATTTCACACTTCTATCCTCCGCGAGAGCAAAGTCTGAACAGCTGCGATACGCTCTTCAAACCTAGTTACGGGGAAGTGGTGGCGTATTGCATTTCTGATGGGAAATGAACAAAAATAGGGTGTTCAGATCTTGCCACAAGAATGTTAATGGTGAAAAGGGAGGCTGGGATCAAGTGCTGGCGTTCACTGGTGGGCTGAAGCAGATTGTAGCTCTAGATGATGATGTGTCTGCAGGCGTGCACGTACCTGTCTAATGACTTATTTATCACAAACTCAAATTTAATATTTAATAGCTGACTTTTATAAGATGATACAGATTTTAACACATGAGCTGACACCCGTGCGTAATCAAATAGCCCATTTCCCAAATAATTAATTATGTGGGTGACAGAGAGATCATTTCCATATTAGGCCTGCCACTGAGGGAGTTAGCGCAGCATGCTGACAGAGAGAAAGAAAAGAGGCAGCAGCTTACTTAAACTGTCCTCGTCCTCTGTACCGCTGGTCCCAGGGCTTATGTACTTGAAGGGGGCGATCAATGCTGACAGCATACTGAATTTCTCTGGAGGAGAGACAAGAGACACGCAGAGTCAACAAGAGGGCAGCGGCAGAGATGTTTTGATAGTTTTATCGATTAAAGCCGCGGATCAGCGTTGGCCCAACACAGAGACAGAGACGGAGCATAAGTGAGCAGGAGCATGCAACACAGGGCTGTTTCTTTGTCACACATGTACGGGCAACAATGCATACATGCCCAATGACAATGAGCAAACACACACCTACACACACACACACACACACACACACACACACACACACACATGTGGAAGATACCAAAATAATAATTCAAACAAATCTGACATAGAAATTCGGTGAAATAAAATACACCTGGGGCCTCATGGAAGAGCATTTTCTTATCCTGAAATCTCACTTTTTTCTGTGAGGTTTGTTCATACAACTGTTCCAAGTTGGGTTCACCAAACTCTTAAATCGCTCATTTCAGCCACCTCTTCATTAGGACGTGCACATTTCATCATTGCCGTATGAGGCTTCCTGTCCTGTTTCATTTGTGGAAAGGTTTCATTCACAAAAATATTACCACAGTATAAAAAGAGGAATTTCACAAAACAGAGTTTCAAGTCCTTCCGTCCGAAACCTTTCTGAAGAAAAATGTTCCGTAGATAATATGTGAGGTGATATTACACGAAAGAATCACTACAGCAGGTGATGCTGCACTGTCAGGTGTTATAACAGATGATCGACCTGGACAGAGATCTGCAGAAACACCCTGAGGCAGTTTTCCAACATCTACTATAATGTATTGGTTGGCTGGCTGTGACAAAACATAACAATAAAGTGATAAATTCTGAATAAACCTCTAAGTAACAGAATATTATTCTTACTTAAATAGTTTAGTCTCAGGTCTGTATTTTATTTTAGTTAATTGTGCAACAGGTCTGGACCACAGAATTTCGTTTGCACCTAAGAGGAAATTCATAGTCATAATTAAATGAAAAAACACATGTTAAAAGGACAATTATGTTGCTTTTCTTAAGCTGTTGGCAGCTTGGGTCAGAAACACTACACTCTGTCCATGCCCTTGGTTGTTTCTTCATTTTGGCGTCTCCTTTGCACCTATTCATACAAACTGATGACAGTGCTATGGATTCAGGATTCAGTATAAACTGTGTATACTGTGTTGTGATTTGATTGTAATGTGACATGGAAAATTCATATCAAAACAAGGGGAAAACAACTCATTCAATCAATACAAAAAGCTAAATAACTGATATTTAACATGTGTTTTTTAATATGTATTGTATTTCAATTTAGTTCTTGGTCTGGTACTGCCTCCATGCCCACCCACCACATCTGTGGTGATAAACTTCCTCTCTTTATCAGTGCTAACTTGTCGACAGCAGCTCTCTCCTGTTTCTCCCTGGGGCCTGCTGCTGTCCAGGTGTGCGTGTTGTTTACAGTATGAAGCCCTATTAGGGCCATTGCCTGGTCTGGTGCTCTCCATGCAGAACTGAGCAGAATTGACAGACCAGTCTGGCTCCTTAATTACACCCCCTCTCTCCTTCCAACATCAGGTGATGATCAATAAAAGAGAAAGGTAAGGAAGAGCCAACAGGGTGGGGAGGAAACAGAGGTGGGCAGAGGGAGGGGGAGGTGATGAGGAATGTAGGAAAAAGCAAGAGGAAGAAATAGAGGTAGAATGAGTCTATGTAGGTGTGTGGAAGGTTAGAGGGTGAGCCTGAGGTCAAGACTCCCTCCAACCTCCATGCCTCCCTCCACCACAGGCCTGCAGCAGCATTCGGGCCTGCAGCAGCAACAATTTCACAGAGCTAAATGCTGCATAAACGGGGCGCCACATTACAGTGCAATAAACATGTTTTGATAACAGCGCAAGGTTGTGAATGAGCTCGGCCCCCGGTGCTCTCTCGCTCTTCGCAGCTCAGCAGCGCTAGAGGGGCTCAATGAATCACTCTGACACACATGGATACACTCTAAACACTGAGGCTGGAGCTGTGCTAGTCCTCCTGGGCCAACACCACAATACAAGCATTTGCATTCTGACCTAATTACGGACTAAAGCCCAACACAAGCAGCAATTTGGCCCTAAATGACTCCCTGGGCCAACAGGGTCATTATCCAGGCCATTTTCAAATCAGTCTATATTGTTTTTAAAGCCCCCACAGCCCTATTTACAGTAAAAAACATGACTGTCTGGTGTGTTTACAAAAGTGGCAAAATTAGGAGTGTTTAAGGGTCTGTTGGCTGGCAAAGCAAATTCTAGTTCATTCTTTCATTTGTACATAAAATGTATCCAGTTCCTTTGTAGCGTGAAAGACAAATGTTCACATCAAGCATGAAATTACAGAGCACAGAGAGGCCGGCAATTAACACACAGGAGCCTAAGCTTTCACACTGGGGCCTGAAATGCCTGTAATGTATATTTGATAATCCTGTTTTGCCGAGGGGTCTAAACCACCCACTCATCAGCTTCTGCCAAGTCAAAAGGCCCACTGGGCAATGAGATACCAGGGCTTGGTGTAAACAGATGCACACAGTACATACAATATGTCATGAGCTTTAAAAGCTGCTACAGTAGAAACAAATGTATTCTCCCTTGAGAATAAGCTGAAGCTGTAAACAAGCGAATCTGCAGGTTGCAACACAAAAGCAGAAGCCAGCAGGTTGATATTTTATTGATCTCTTGGTTGCCAAATGTGAGCAAAGATGGTTGATTATTTGGGATATGGTTAATAACCCTCAGGTGTTTTGGTCATTTGGAAATGTATTTAGCTGGTCCTAATGCTACAGCTTCCAGAGATATCCTGGTATTGACTGACAGTCAAAAGATTTTCTGTGTGTGCGCCAAATTTGTTCCAGATGTGGAAGTAGCATCTTACAATGATGCTGTATATGGGCCAGATTCGGGCCGTGGAATTGGGCGGATACTGGGCCAGAAGAAAACAAGCATGTTGGCCAAGGGTGGGCCGGATTTATTTTGCTATCTGATGTTAATAAGAGTGCATTTACTACTGGCATTGTCATGTGACCTGTATATGGGTAAGCAAAAAACAGATCCAATCTGTACAATGTGACCACATTCATGAAAATCGGCCCAGAAAGTCACCTAACTCCACCCCCTCCTGCTATCTTAAGCCCTGCTCACAATGACAGAGAGTCTAGAGCCACACCAACAGCTGTCTGAGGCTGTACTCAGGCAAACCGATAAATGCAATGAGATAGCAAGCTAGCATGCTCATTGTAACAGTGCTAACATGCTTACAGTGCTTATTTTAAACAGGTACTGTGTAATGTGTATTATGTTCACAATTTTAGTTTAGCATGTTAGCATTTAAAGATTTGCTAATTAGCACTTCACACAAAGTACAGCTGAGGTTCATGAGATTAGTATTAGTATTTAGTCATTAAAATACTGGACAAATTGAAATAGTAATATTTGGTTGTGGGGTTATCAAAGTTATTACAATTGATTCTGAAGGGAACATGAAAGTCTGTACCCAATGTCATGGTAATCCATCCAATAATTTCTTGAGATATTTGATTGAAAACCAAAAGTGTGGTACTAAAGGAGAAGTCGGAGGAATCATCAATGTAATTTTTTAAAATGTGCCAATCCATCATGTAGATTCTGGGATATTTCAGTGGCAGTGGGGGTAGATGAAAAGTCCGGGGATAACCACAGTCATTCCTCTGGGAACCATGAATGTGTGTCATGGTGTCAAAGACTTGACTGACTGACCGTCTGATAGGAAAAAACCAACATTGCCATCCCTAAAATATCAATGATATTAAGAGGAAACAAATTCTCTGCACTATCCTCAATGCTTGCTGGTGTGCTGGAACCATCACTGGGCTGTGTAAAAGCCTGAATAGACGCTTTTATTCTGTATTCAGAGGATTTTTATTCAGATGACTAAGTTCACAGTCAGAATAGAGCTTTTCTCTAAAGCGCTCTTGAGATCTGTATAATTTCAAAGCATCCCTCCAAAACAATTCTTCTCACTTTCAATGGACCTCCTCATTTCAAATGTCTCAGGAAGTAGCTATTCAGTACAAAAATATCATCATGTTTTCAATAACTCTGATGCTGAATCAACTGTGTAGTGGTAAGCGGTGCAGTTTAGAGGTCATCCTCCAAATGCCACCTCTGATCGTTTTTTGACAGGCTTATGAAGCGCCTGCACAAGCACTCTTCGCTCTGATTTATGACTAAGCTGTGTATAACATCAGAGGCAGTTTTTGTTGGCGGTTTACAGTATGTAGTATGTGATTGATTTTTCCACAGAGATACAGCATATTTTCAGCCTCATAAATTAAAACATACTGTAGAGAGCTCACGCAGGTTGCAGGACAATAATATGACTTGCTTGTTGTCTAAACATTTAAAGTAGTTCTAGAAGTTGTGCATATAACAGACACCAAAACCAAAAATGATTAAAAAATAATAAAGTTGTGTCATAAATGTCCTGTGCCCTGTGGGTGCAGACTGAGGGAAATTTTAAAACTTTATTGGTAGATAGTTCTACAGAATCTTTCAGAAAACCTATGCTATCAAAACATTAAAATGTAAAATACATGGCTGACCCGATAGCTGAATGGTTAGGGCTCATACTCAGAGCGGACTCCTGGCTGACCAGAGCTGCATGTCATTGCCCGATGCTATCCCTGAATTTCCTGTCCATCTCTACTGGGTCTGTCAAATAAAGGCATAAAATGGCCAAAAAAACCCCAACAAAAAACTAAAAATCATTACTGGAATCAAGACCTAAGCAGAATTGATATTAGTTTAAGTTTAAGTTTTACTCCAATAGAAGATATTTTATAGAATCCATTACACTGCATTGACAAATATGGAACTGTGACATATCTAAATTTGGATTATTCGTTTGTTGTCAATTGTGTTATACTTCAATGTACCCCCCAACACTACAACACTGGAAAGAGAAAAAATATTTTCCTTATTCAAAGACAGAAATGATAATAGCATAGAAAAGAGTAAATTAGGCCAACCTGAAACCATTTGGG